CGGGCTATAATTTCATAACTTTCGTAGCAGACCATCAACATAGTTGTACGCATTTGTCCCAGTTGTACCAAACTTGGGGTTTCCATAACTACTTAGTTGTACCCAGTGGTTTCAGTTGTCCCAAATCTGCAATCCTAAAATATTTCAACAAATAACCCTATTCAAGCTACGAATTCAACTTAATCATACTACACTAAGAAAAAGTATACTTATCTTACAGTTGTACGAATTTGTTCCAGTTGTACCAAACTTAGGGTTTCCGTAACTACTTAGTTGTACCCAGTGGTTTCAGTTGTCCCAAATCTGCAATCCTAAAATATTTCAACACATAACCCTATTCAAGCTACGAATTAACTTAATCATACTACACTAAGAAAAAGTATACTTACCTTACAGTATGGTGGGAATACAAGAAGAAGAAGAGAAGAAATATGTCTTTGGAGATGCAAGCTTTAATGGTGAGCTTTAATGGTAGATGGAGAAGAAGAAGAAGTAGAAGAAGAAGAAGGAGAAGAAGAAGAACGTCGGAGCTGCAACGTCGGAGCTGCAACGTCGGAGCTGTTGAAGAAGAATAAGAAGAAGAAGAAGAAGAAGAAGAAGAAGAAGAAGAAGAAAGTCTCCTACGTTGTTCCTACGTTTAATGTTGTAAAAAGTGAGACATTTGGTAGGTTTGTTTTTTTAATGAGAGAAGAGAGAGAAATTTTTTGATTGGTTGATAAAAAATATGTTGATATTAAATTAAATGTAGAATTAAAAGGATAAGGGGTAGAGTTGGTTTATGAAAAAATTGGGAAGGAGAGGGGATAGTGAGAATAAGTAGGGGTTTTTCAAAAATTGATTTTGGCCAAAGGGGCCAATGAGATTAAAATCCCCAAGAGTGGTTGGTAATAATTGTGTGAAGGGTGTTTTACTAATGTAAAATTGCATTTAGGACCCTCATTATAATTAAAATGATGTCGTTTTGACTGGAACAATTCAATTTTCGCCTCCCTGTTGACTGTTGGTTTAGGAGATGGGTCTTTGTATTTTATTTTCCTAACTAACCTCGTCAGGTAATATGTCTAATACCTATTTGATTGTGATTGTGGGTGGATTCAGAAGATCAACAACCTCTTTCCGAAAGAAAGGAAAAAGTATGGAGTGTACATCAATAGTATGTAATAAGAAACTAGAGACACAAACGAATCAGCAGCAGCCGCACTTGAACAAGCCTACGCAAGTGTAGGGTCTTGATTTTTGCTCCACTTCATATGCTGTGGGCAGTGGCTCCCGCTACATCCCTTGTATATGTTTCTGCACATCCCACTGCCCAGGAAGTTGGGAAATTTCCCCCAGAAACAGGATGACCTCGATCGGTCCACAGTTAAAAAAACGCTTGAAGGAGATTGTCTTCTCTTAAACGGCATAATAAAAAGTAGGAGACAAGAGTGAGACTAGAGTAGAATAAGGATAGTACAATTCCATCAAACTCCTCCACAGACAAAATAAACACCATTCTTACTTAGAGGTCGGAGGTGCACAAGCGTGTAGTGTAATTAACACCATTCTTACATGAAGAAGGCGTGTAGTGTAATGACTAGATAGAGGCATTTACCAAGGAACTGGCTCAGCTTTCCCAAGAAACAGAATACCCGCGAAGAGAAAGTGCAGTGCCACCACTGCCAATTTCATAATCAGAGAAGAACTCCCAACTGGTTCTGGTGGCAGTAGAAAATTAGTTGGTTTAATTTAGCGCGAATAGGAATCTACAATGGAGCTTCTCGGAGAAACGATAAAAGTGGTTACCGGGATCGGAGAGACAACGAAGAAAGGGCCGACAAACTCCCATGACGGTTCACTTCACTGGTTCAGGCCTCAGGGAAGAGCGATGACCCACATCTCTCTCTCTCTCTCTCTCTATCCATTCTATCGTATGACAGCAACGCTATTATTGGGCTAAAGCAGCACCTTAAAGGCCCATTATGTTTTTGTAGTATATGGCCCAATTATAACTACTTTCCCAACTACAGTATAAAAATGAAATTTATTTGTCACTCAAATAATAATAATAATCCATTAAAAATATATATATATGGCGGAGGAGAGAAGAGTCCCATCATCGGTGTCGGTCACAGTCGCCCACGACCTTCTTCTAGCCGGCCATCGCTATCTAGACGTCAGGTAACGCCACCTGTCTCTTTTCACAATTTCAAACATCATCAATCATCAACATGGCATCATTAGGGTAATGGGGGATTATATATATAGGACTCCAGAAGAGTTCAGGCAAGGACATGCCTGTGGGGCGATCAACGTACCTTGCATGAATCGAGGAGTATCAGGTATTTTGTTGTTTTGGTTTTTGTTGGTAATTGAGTGGGCTGTGATGGATATAGTTTTGTGATGGTGAAGCAGGGATGTCAAAGAACCCTGACTTCCTGGAACTAGTGTCCTCCCATTTCGGACAATCCGACAACATCATTGTTGGCTGCCAGAGCGGTGGTAGATCTATCAAAGCCACCACCGATCTTTGCATGCAGATCG